AACTAGTTTGGAAGTGACAGAACTCCTGTGAAGCCTGTGTGAATACAAGCCAGAGCCTTTACGATCTTCAAATGCTCTATCTTAGCGATATAATAGAAAATGATGAACCACCAAGTCAACAAAAAATTCTGCATTCCTCTTTTGCAAAGGGGTTTATCTACGGTAGTTTTGAATATCTTCCTATTTTCCGAGAAAAAAGTGCAATTTTACATGAAAAGAGAAAACCGGAAAATCATAAGGGAAGGCCCTTGAGTTGAATGTGGCGTCACTGGCTGTTTTCGGCGATAAGCTCTCTACAAAGCCGTTAAGCGTCTCGGAAAAAACTCCTTCTGACGCATATTCTTCAAAGCTTATGAGATTGTAAGTGATGGGACTGGAAGCCCCGGATCCAATTGAGATAAAGTTTCGGAATGAGGGGAAACATCGGCATTAGTTGGTCCCATGAAAATGGGGAAGGATCAAATCCGATTAGTCTCATTTGGGATAAATGCATCATGCATTTTCCCACAGCGAAAACCGGCCAGGTTCAATGAACGGGGCGCTTTTTACTTGTAGACGAGCCTGGTATCAGGTAACCGGTCCATGCGATAGCAAAGGATCGGTTTTTGCTTGACTTCATAGAGTATCATCTAAATGGAAAGCATAACGAAGATATCCTTACTTCTTCACAAAAGTCACTCCAGAATTCAAGCTGAGCGTAGGGCTTCTACAAATCCCTGAGCTGAAAACCAAGCTGCCTCTATTTACTTGTTTATTATCTTTCTTTTTTATTTACTTGCTTATCATTGTTTATTTGAGCGGAGGTGGTGTAATGGCATATGACGCACTACAACACACACGCATGGTCACAGGTTCGAAACCCGGCTCGATATCCGCCTTCCATCCTTCTGGAGTCGGTTAATTGGTAGCGGAATCGTCTGGGAGGATAAAAGCACTGTCTTGTACATCGGCTGGCCACTCCATGTCATTGCAAAGGTCACATACGCATTTATTTCACCACCACGATCCTGGATGGAAGTCAAGTGCGGGGCGCACTCCTCAGATAGGCTTGATTAATGCTCAAAGATTTTATCCTTCGCCTTTTTATCATTCGATTATGAGCGTATTCTCTAGAATGCAGCTTTTATTGTGCACTATATGCCATCAACTGCAACTGGTAGTCATATATGTACCTGATGGGGAGTCATTTACAACTTCATAGGATAACTTATCATGTTAGTAGCAATTTGTTGAAAGGTCGAGTTGTCTCAGAGGTAAATCGGATGACTTGTAGTTTGAGTGGTGTTTCTCAGCGAAGAAACGTTGAGGTTAGCACTCTACCGTATCACATAGCAAACATCGGCTGGACCAAGGCAAATAAACAATACTGTCAATCGGAGACACGGTAATGAAGAACTATTGCGTAACATTCAATAACTAGATATTTATTTATTTATTTATTTATTTATTTACTTATTTATTTATCTATCTATTTATTTATTTATTTACCGCAACCATAGAAATGCTCGGTTATCGGGGAAGTGGACCAGCAGCGCTACCCGCTACATTTCGCAAATAATATCAAGCGTATTTCGAAGGATCCTCTACGCAGAGAGCCAGCGGGAATGGACGATCGGGGGTCTTATGTTAGATGCTATGCTCACCTGAAATTGGGCCGTAATCTTGTCACGATCGTCGTTCCTATTCTGGGGAATCCCGAATCGGACCGTACCGGTAACCGTAACACAAAACGCTCAAAAGCTGAAGAACAAGCGAAAGTATGAAAAGAAGTCGTTCCTCGAAGCTGTACTCGATCATGGCCCTACAGCAGATCTACTTCCGAAGTCATGTACATCTTTGGGCTCTGAGTTATACGCTTACTTACTCTTTTCTCGTATTCTTTGGATATGAACCTCGGACTATTTTCAACGGGTCCGGGAACTTCTCCCCTAACACGGCGTCGCACACGCCGCACCCGCCGCCTATCGCAGGATTGCGATGAAAGATTGGAGCGCGCAGTTTGTAAGGTAGGGAGTCCTTTAATCATTTGAATTGGCTGGTCGCTCCCTTCAATTTCAATGCGGTATTGATCGTCGTCTATATAAGAGGAGTCATTCTAATTAATTAAGTCTAATAAACATGAAAACTAAAAAGAAACAGAAGAAAAAACGATAAAATCCAATGAAAAAGCAAGCCAGTCAAGGAAAAATATCGCGTCCTATCGATTTTCGGGAGGCGGGGTGGGTACGGTAATTGCAGTGACATCTGCCGCATGCCGCAAGGGAGAATGCCGCGATAGGGGAGAAGTTCCGTTACCCANATCATTTGAATTGGCTGGTCGCTCCCTTCAATTTCAATGCGGTATTGATCGTCGTCTATATAAGAGGAGTCATTCTAATTAATTAAGTCTAATAAACATGAAAACTAAAAAGAAACAGAAGAAAAAACGATAAAATCCAATGAAAAAGCAAGCCAGTCAAGGAAAAATATCGCGTCCTATCGATTTTCGGGAGGCGGGGTGGGTACGGTAATTGCAGTGACATCTGCCGCATGCCGCAAGGGAGAATGCCGCGATAGGGGAGAAGTTCCGTTACCCATTTTCAACAGAACCGTAACGGTTGTATGTAGTATATGCGATACAGGCGCATGATTCGGGATTGAAAGCTGGACCGACACCCGCTCACGCCAATCAAACCATCCATTCCTCTGGGAGTTGGTTGTTTCGTACCAGACTCGTCTGGGAGGTTCCAAGCACTGTCTTGTACATCGGCCAGTTACCGCACTTGTTGCACAAGCCACATGCGCACTCAAAAAGCCTTTTACCATTCTGAATGGAGGTCGGAGGCAAGGCGCATTCCAAAAAAAGGGTTGGTCATATCCCAGACGTCAATTTCAGTCTAGTAAACGCTATACAAAAATTTTTAATCCTTTATTGGAATATGTTCATCAAAGGAACAATCACAATTCCACAAAAAAACCAAAATCATTTCATAGGCAATGTAAACAAAGTTTAACTAGAGTACACGAAAAAAGTGTTTACTCTGACAAATTTGAACAAAGTACATGAATACATCTAAATTAGTTCGTATAAACATTTAAAACATGATACATTTGAAGTAAGACACAGTCGAAACAAGTAAAACCAACTTTGAGGGCACCAGGCCTATGCACTGAGAAATTACTAAACACAACTATAGCACAAGTTGGGCATTATTAAAGCGAATAACCGTTCAAACGCTTTCACGGGAAAACTTTCAGCGAAACGCTGATAAACAGATAAGTGAAAAGAATATGAGAGCAAAAAACTAATTAGCAATTCGGTCGAATAATCCCTACCTATTACTACTAGTAGTTGCTTTTTGAATGAGCTACAAGGTGGCGATATGATTTGCCAAAAATGAGGCTAGTCATTCAGATGCGTTTATAGTTCGCGCCAAATCTATAAATCGAGGAGGCGCTCATGCCGCGCGGCATGATTGGGCGGATATTGATTGGCTTACAACAATTTTTGCGCGTTCGGCCAGCGGAGAATCCCTGCTCTGACTCAATTTTTCATACACACCCTGCCAATATCAACATTCTCCGAGGGGAATCAATTCAACACTCACTTAAGAGAACCTCTTCGGTTGAAAGAGTACACTATCAGCCCATCCGTGATCTGGTACTCTCCAACTTTTTGAGAAGATTGAGTACCTCAGCTTTGTGAAGATCCCTCGTTCAAAAACACCTTTTCCTGGCTTAGACTTGGCTGTAAAACAGCATAGCCAACCGATGCTCCTAGTCCTCTGAGGCTTACCTCTTGTAATAGGGAATCAGAGCAGGGAATTAGAATTTGTACATCGTTTCTGAGAAAACAGATTCGATTTTGAAAGTTAGAACTTTTCAAGACGCTTTTGATTCGAGACTTTCGCTCAGTTCTTCTTGACAATCAAAGACTACGGTTGATATGAACCCTATAGGATGCAAGGATAACAACTGAACGTGATTCGTGAGAAATACTGTGAGTATACTTGTAAATTTAAAAAAAAAAACTAATCAAAACTACAAGTAAACTTAGTGATGAACAAAAGAATTATGAAAAGGATATATGCCAGTTAAGAACCTGTGCAGGAAGTTCCCTACGGGCACTTACTATACACTATAACACTTATCCACATGTTGAAATTCATGAAATTTCTCATTTTTTTGGCTTTACCAAGAGTTTCACTAAATAATAGCTCAGGGAACCGAGGAGTCTATTTGTGTTCATGTTAGAGGGCCCCAAGGATCTGGCAAACTTTATGAACCATCCCACTACTTATTAAGGCACCGTGTCATTTTTTGAACCTACCCTATTGGACTTGACGTCAAAGGTGCACTTATCAATCACGCATGGGTAGAATTGCTGGGGAGACTTTTGCGAAATTTCTGTCGTTCTTCAAGACCAGAAGTATAAAAGGCTTCGTTAGAATTTTAAAGGAAGTCACGAATAATACGAGAAAAAACTCAATTTACTTTTCCGGCTCGATGATAGCATGACTCCATTTGCAGGACTATATGAGAAATTCACCGAAAATCAAGGTGCGGACCACTTCTTCGATCTTCTTCTTGCCAAGGGAAACACTTAATCTCGTGGACTGCTGCACAAGGGAAGCTGGCGTTCCTCACAAGTCCACTGAAAATAAAAACTTGATTTTATCTGAATGTTCAGAGCCTATGCTCTATAGTGGCAGTATCTATACCACCTATCCCTGGATAATAGATTGGGAGAGAGACTGGGTAAAGGAGGCAAAAAAAAANNAAAAAAAAAGAGTATGGAGCTCCGTCGAGTGGCACTCCCTACTCCAGACTGTTTCTAACCAAGATTGGCATTCATAAAGGAAAAGACTATTCAACCCAGAAACTTTCTGGGACGTTAGAGTTCTATGCATTCCACAACAAGGCGATAAATCGCACTTAGCCGAGTTCAAGAGGGAACAGCGGCGATCTATCTATCCAAATTACACCTTCCACAATTTTCACCCCCGCCCACACAGTTGATCTTATCCTCGATATGGAAGAATAGGATGGCGGACTACTGGAAAATTACAAATTACAGCCTTATAACTAACCGTATCTTTGGAGACATCATAGTGGTAGAGAGTCGAATCGCAATGATACGCCCTTGGCGTAAGTTTAACGAGTGAGTGTAGTCCCAAATCAATATAAGGTAGTTCATCCAATGTCCTGTCGTAGAAGTACGCAAGAATGCAACGAAGAACGGCTTGATGTGAAACCACCAGCACGTTCGCCTGAAATGAGAAGGCGTGTTAGCGAAGCTCAGATGTCATTAGTTCCATACCCTAGCGAATAATCCCAAAACGGAGACATGTTTTTTTGTAAATTCCGGCCGCCTTTTACATTGTTATGCACCCAAAGGACGAGTTTACTTCGAAACAAGCATCTTCGTTAAATATATAATAATATTATTTACCCCTACTCCGGGGTACCCTAAGACCAGCCCCGCTTCAAGAGCAGCAGCGTCATATCATCCGGATTCATGAGACCTTCTACCCACCTGCCGCTCCAATTCCATGATAACTGGTTCTAGCCGTGAAACTACATCTTCGTAGGACTCCCCAGACGGATATCGATAATGGTATTTGTCTCGGGCGCGATCCTCTGCCTGCTTAGGATACCTAAAAGCAGTAGTATTGATAGCCGGTAGACATTTCCTGCGCCTACCGAAGAGAAAAAGGAATAACAGATTGGCTAGATGAGTTCTCTAAAACGATTTTCATAGGAAACGGAGACGGAAGCGAGTTATCGGATGTGATTTAATGATAATAGCTGGCACTTGGATGAAAAAAGTTGCACTCAGGAATTTAAGGGAAGCATTGTATACCAGTGAAAAAAGTAATAGGTCATATTAGGATTGAGAATCTCTTTGGAATTCAAGAGATTTTATGAATTAAATCAAACCTCTGTTGGATGTCATCGTACGTTAGTCCCTCACATATTCCAGCATCTATTTCATCCAACGCTTTCCAATATTCAGTGTGAAACGCCGGCTTCAGTCTTTGTGCTGTTTGCGCAGCACGGACCTAAAATTGCGGGGCAAACAAGCTATAGAATGTAGCTTAAGAAAAAAACTCTCTCAATAAAATGATGATGTAAAATGTCCAAGACTACGGTAAGGGTACCTTTTGAGAACACCAAATTCGAAGGTCGGCAATTTTCTCATTTTCGAAAAATTTACTAAGAGCTTCGGCATACTTTTCACCTTCAGGTGTTAATGGAGAATCACCGCCGAGGCGTCCCATTGCGTTGTATTCGCTTTCACCATGCTGTAAACAGAGTTATTAAGTTTATTAAGAACAAACATGCCTTAGACAGTCTGTTCAACTATGAACTAGCCTTTTTTATGATTCAAACTATAAATCGCAAAAAGGCTATGATTTTGTCAATTACTCACCCTGGTTAGGAAAATACTCCGTGGCAGTAGATGGATGTTCATTAGGAAATAGACAACACGACTTTGAACATGACCTTGAACGTTGTGTACGAAAAATGAACGTCCCGCATTGATAACCTCAAACGAATAAATCTGAGATTACCTAAAAACAATGGGGTGCCTATCAAAATGAAGCTAGTGCCTACGTTACGAAGCTTTTTCCAATTTCTCCTTTCTTGAGAATTATTTAAATCAAATCCTCAGCAGCGTAAGTCCACCACTATAAGAAGATTATGGACGAACCTTTATAAAACTCAGCGCTTCATCATCGACTTCATCCAGTGGTTGATACTGTTGTTTATAGTTTTCGATTCGTTTTAGAAAATCCTCTTTTGCTTGCTCGGCTGACATTAATCCCTTGTAATCAGGAGAATTCACCTAAATGCTTGCACTTGGAGATAAAATTCGAAACGCCCCGACATCTTTGCAGTAGCGAAAAAAGCGGTGATGATCGAAAATTTTGACAAAGAAGAAAAGAATTAGCAAAACCCCTACTCGTTCATACCAGAGCTGAAGTGAAAAAAGCACACCTTGACGTCCGTAATATTGCTATCGATAATACGCTCGTCGTCACATACAGACTCAATAAAAAAACAACGTAACCTGAAAAACTACAATAAAAGCTATCATCACTAAGTAGAACGGAAAACTGACCAATTCTTTTGACAAAAGTCATTAAGTGTTTTTCGACGTTCTCTTGTCGTATTCGTGGCATCAAATATCGCGACGTTACAGATGCCCGACTTCAAACTATCTGCCATATCATTCATCGCTCTCCGAGCGGACTCACTGAAATCATTCATCGAGTTCAAAGTACACAATTGTTGTAAAGAACCGATTATATGTCATAGTGAAGAGAATCCATACTTACTGATAAGGTTGATATTAATGAGATCTGTCGGGGTGAGACATCGGATAGAAATGAAAATGTTTAATGTAGGGTGCACAACTGTCGGGAGGTATATAGTCACCCTAGACCTTTCTTCTCCTATCATTCACCACATTCCCATAGGGTAGTTACATGGAAAATTCGGCAGTGTTTTTTTTTTCAAGAATATTAGAGAAATAGCCGATATACTTTAACGACTGCACATTAAAGGTTAAGAGATCCCGTTTTTCATTCCCGTTGCTAGGTAGAACACTTAACTTTCAGAAATTGAGAGAAAAGGGTAAAAGGCGAAGTAAACTGCTTCGGTTTCAGATTTTTGCATATATTCTCTTTATATCTTCCAACTTCACGATGTACCACTTTTCAACAATCCACACCTCCCGAAAAAGGTCACACTTCAACATATAATCGCTCAGAATAGGCATATGCTTATCGGGCTTAAAATGTAAAGAAAACGATGAAAAAATCGAAAAAATGAGAGCAGTAGATTCAAAAGCAAAAGATGTGTAGTTAAAACCAGAAAAAAATGACTCACTTTCGTACTTTAAGAGCAGCAGCATTGCTTGGTGAGAAGAACGAGGCATTCGCTCCATGTACAGCATCAGCAGCATTTGCTTCTGTACGACGATATTCACCGACATTAAATACTGAAATGGAGCATAATAGTATGAATATTACTTAAACTCTATAGCACTTGAAAGTATAACTATTAGCAATTCAATATGAACGTCAAAGCACAGTAATATCAGATACAATCGAAAAAAAGGGGAGGGGAGGGGAATTTACAGGACAAAGGAACAGTGGGAGAGAGCTGGTTAATTTTCTCCGTCATTCTTCGTGTTTCTCCATCATTCCCCGCTTCAATCACGTGAACAATCAATTATCAATGATGATTTTTTTTTCAAACATGTGAAAATAGTTTCTCGGAAGTTTAGGTGTAACTAAAACACTCCCCAAACATTGACCGAAATAAACCTATTGAAGAAGATCACTTGGTGAGTGGAATGAAGCAGCTTTTCAATATCAGTGTTTCATCAGATAGCCTTGAAAATCGAGTTTGAAAACTACACGAACACTCGAATTTACTGTAAAGTAACGTTGCGAGACTAATAAATTACATGCGTCAAAGAACAGTTGTCGCTACAGGAGCAAATGAACGTTTGTCAAAGTCAAGTCAGTAATAATCCATATTATGCCTACATTTTATTATTAATGGGTCCCTAGCAAAGTCATGGGAACAACGTAAAAAGTGAAGGCGATCATTTGTGACGAATAGCCCATATCATGTAGAAGATCTAGAAAACATTTCCACTCGATCAACACATGAACAAAAACTTTACTGTTGACAACAGCCACAACAACGTGGTGTTTAGTTGCAGACAACAGCAGACAATGGTTAAAGGTGCGAGCCAATAGAGCAAAGGCGAAAACAGAAAACAAAGAAATTACCCTGAACTACTTACCTCTAGTCTTAATGCCAATCCAATTCAGATATCGACAAAGTTTCTTCGAAATGTATGTTTTTCCTCGGGCCGGCAAACCAACCATCACTATCACATTTGGTATTCGAACCTGATCTGAAACCGGTAAGGTTTACCCTAACTATACTGGGACTTACCAGTGCTCCATAGTTACACAGTCACAAATGTTATAATTATATTGATTATGACAGATGTTCGAGTTAGCTATTAGGGCAAATAAGTAATCGCGTATATTATAGGAAAATATAATTAAGAAATACCTATTAAGTTATATATCGACTATGAAACACTCAGATACCTGGTCTATAAATATGAATATTTTTAGAAGGCAGGTAGTTTAACTTTCGAGACAAATGTTTTAAATACCGAGAGAACGGTCGATTTTAGGTTGCCAACTTAATATCTGAAAGGGCCGACTTTTGCCAGTGGTTGGGTTAAAAAGAGGTTCCTAATTGGTAGCGTTTAAGAACTCAAAAATGTAAAGAACCGAGTTTGGCAAAAATGTTAGATTACACCTCGAATTCACAGTATCCTTCCAAACACCTTAGCCATGCTTTTAGGAGAAATTTTTCAAAATTAACAAAAACAATCCAATACAAATATAAGTCATATTTTGAGAGTAAAAAGTATAAAAAGAAGAAAGTAAACCTGAAAATCCATGCTCATGAGAATGAGCAACCATTCTTTTCGTTGATGTATCATCATTAGGTACTGCAGTAACGGAATTCGTATACAAAACTTCAGACGACGTAAGGAGGCCGCCGTCCGACATCTGCAAAATGCAACTGTTGTGCAATGAAGGACTGATTGACCGATCATTGATAACGCTGTCCCACATTCTTGGAGACTAGAACGTAGTGATAACAGTCACCAAGGGAAATAACTGATAGGATTATAACTTTTTCCAAATGGTTCCAAAGAAAGTTGTCCTGGACACAAATTAAGTGCTTTTTGATATCAGCAAAAATGGCGCACCATACTCACGAGTAAGGTCGAGGTCGTTAAAATGGAATGTCAGACTAAAATTTTGATTGTTCCAAGGGATTGTTCTAGGAAGGCAGGTCCTAGTTCNACTGTTGTGCAATGAAGGTCTGACTGACCGATCATTGATAACGCTGTCCCACATTCTTGGAGACTAGAACGTAGTGATAACAGTCACCAAGGGATATAACTGATAGGATTATAACTTTTTCCAAATAGTTCCAAAGAGAGGTGTCCTGGACACAAATCAAGTACTTTTTGATATCAGCAAAAATGGCGCACCATACTCACGAGTAAGGTCGAGGTCGTTAAAATGGAATGTCAGACTAAAATTTTGATTGTTCCAAGGGATTGTTCTAGGAAGGCAGGTCCTAGTTCGAAATAAAACTGAAAAAATTACAAATATCAGAAATGAGTGACATGGAATGGAAATGACCTCGAAACGATTCACTACGGAACCAAATGCCTACCGTATGCGGCTACGTAATCACTATAATACGTGGCATTTTACGTCATTTCACGACTAGTGTTAGTACGTGTTATTACTGTAGAAATTTTCGAATTCAATCCAATTTTTGTTGTCGATAAAGGAAGCGACGCGCCCGCAACATATGTTATATCTATTATTGAACTTACAATTTTTTCCTGAACTCTCCTTAGTACTGATTATCGATTATGTTTTGATATGCTATAAATTAATAAGTAATAGTTAGTATACTTCAATATAGCGAGTTAACAGTGACTAGAGGGCGATACATTACACTTCAAAGCTCTCTGAGATCGAATTCCCCAACCTCTCCGCCCTCTGACACCTCACTATTACTCAAACTTCTCCACCGTCTGAAAATGATTAGTTTCCATCGGACATTTATGAAAATGTAAAACATTAATGCATAGGCTGGACCCTGGCCATAAATTCGCTTAATCACCGCAGTGTTCTTAAAATGGGTGTAAGCAGAGTATGTGGCGCATTCCAACGATACTACTGCTATGACGTCAAATACATTATGGTGACGTCTATCTATTTACATTTAATAGAACGTTGAGCAATCCTCTTGCCATACGTTTTTCCTCTCTCTCTTCATTCGTCACCAGAGCGACAACTGTGATAAAACAGCTGATAAGAAAGGTCAAGACCAAAGACCGTAAAGACAGCAGAATACCAAAAGGCTAAGGAAAAACGCTAAGTGGTAAGGTATAGGGAAAATGGAGATCGGAGAGATCACTTGGGAGTATCGTTTCATCAAAGTGACTGGGTTATTGGTAAAAGAGGAACTGTAGACGGAAGAGTGGAGTATGAGGTTGTCCAAAAACTGGTCATGGTCCATAGTGAAAGGATCTATAGTCCCTGATCAATTGATTTGGGGAATGATAGCTTGTGGGGATCACTACAGAGCAATAGTAATGTGTACGATGAGGGTAGGGGGATAGGAATAATAACGATCACCACAAATCAATGGCAATCAGCCATCAACGTGCCATCTGTCTGTCTGTCGGTCGTATGTACCAATCCCCATTGTTACAATTCCAACTAAAAACTGATCCTCTAGGTAAACAAATGGATAAGCAGAGATTTCCGGTTGTTTTTGAATCATAGCCAAATACTAGTACCGCAAATGATCACAACTAATCTGTACAGTGCAGTGATACCTAGGCTGAATTCCATTTTTACCCTCTCGAAATTACCCAAATGCCATATCATGGGCTCCCAATCAAAGCCAACTAGGCCATATCTCCTGAAATCGAGGGGTGAACGATAATGCCTTTTGGCGCCAGCCAATCCTACTTTTGGGACGCGCCCCGCACGTCCACTCTTCGGTCCATATCGTAGTGGCGTTTGGACGCGGAAATGGCCTATACAATGACTTAGGTGGCCATCCAGTGTGCATGTCAGGTATTTTATTCTCCCAAACGAGTCTGGTACCAACTGACCGACCTTGGAGGGAGGAAGGGATGAGTTGGCCTTTGCGGATACCGAACCGGGATTCGACCACCGGACTGTGAACATGGGATAGGGCCCCCACTTGGCACTACACCACTTCTGCCAATAGCTGAAATTACCATCCTTTCATTCTTCACTGAAATTATCAAGACTAAAGTACATGAGACTAGAACGTTATCAGTTACGTTCTTTCAGTCTCTCAAACGCCGACGCAATACCATAAAAGGAAGAAGAAATGACAGTTGAGGTTTTTCGGAACGATAAAGACCAATACATGGCCTTCAAGTGATTGTTTTGACGATGCGTAAGTGTTCCGTTGTTCTTTTTGAAAGTTGGTCGAAAGAATTCCAACCAACGGCTGTAGTCATTTATTGGTCAAAGTGGGCAGCGAGCTGTGGTATTTAGAGGCATGCATTAAGTAATAGGTTTGCAGTTGGCTCGGCTGATTCCCATCTGGGACGAAGATAAGGAGACTATACCTAGCGTTGTCTTTTAGAAAACCGGTCTAGAGAGGGTGCAATAAGGGTTCGATGTCCGCTGAATACGCCTCTGCCCTCCAGGAACGCCCACTAATGTGCGTGTCGAGTGCCCCTCAAGAGATAGCATAATGGAATGGGCCATATTATAAACATAGGTATACTGTACCCACACCATTAATGCACTTCGCACAACACATTACATTGGAGACTAACTTTTCTTGGCCCTTTTCTCTGCTTTTCTAATCCATTCAATATGAGCCCTTTGATGACGACTACAGTGGAATATAAGGGTTGGAAGGCTCATTGGAATCAATCAGTGCCTCGGAAACCATTGATGGGAAGCATACCTGACAATTATGCAGAAGCCAAGACCCCATAGCCCCATATGAGATAGATTATCCCCCAGTAATTTGGAATGGAGACCAACCCAAGCTGATAATCGAATTCGAGCGAACCAATGACAGTAAGTAAATACTCATTGGTTAGTCCTTGCTCCTTGATAGATATAGCTTCTATGGCTGTCCAGGTGACCCTCGGGCTAAGCCCTTATGAACTCACGTTCTGTTAGCGAGCATAGACTTTTTAAGAAATTTAAAAAAAAATTAAAAATAAAATGAGAAAATACGGCCGAGATGTCGAGTCAAATTGGTAAACGATGTTTGTGGAATAACTGGTTCCCTTGCACTCCCATCACACGAGTTTTACTTTTAATTTAATTATCCCATTTCAATGAAAGGAGTTTTCTTTCTAAATATTCGACAGTGAGATGCTGACAAATGGACTGAGCCATAAAATATGGTACCTAAGGTGCCCAAAAAATGACATACAGAACTATTCGACGAGAAGGGAGGACCGAAATGATATGGAAATCGATTTATTTACCTTTGGCTCAAAAAAGAAACTCGGGTTAGTTTACACAGATCGAAATCCGTAAAGAAACAAAATAGCCTCCCCGGCTTGTTTAGTTTACGATTTTGCGGCACAAAGCGCTGGCACGAGAAATGTTAGTCTTTCTAGAGAAAAAAGATTTGTCTTCAAAGCTGATCCCTGCTCTCTGATTGAGCAGGGTTCCTGAAAAGATGATACGGTATAAGCTTCAAATATCAAAACAACCTGGAAGCACACTGACGGCAGGCTGGGGTTGGGTAGTGAAGTGGAGGAATGAAGGTTTTGTATGAGGGCATTGATGGATGAAGGATCAATTGCATTGAGAGCTTCTAGAGAACCTCGCTTCATTTCAGTTTTGCTACTATGTTTGTTTGTTAGATTTGAGGCAAGGTTTCACAGTACTTGATCACAATCAATCCAACGACTCCCTGTTGATGACGATTGCGTGGCGCATCCCAAATGCATTTTTGACCTATGCATCCCCCACAAAAGGTTAAAACTAAGGGATTGTGACCAATTATCGCCTTTCCCTGTTCTAGCTTTAGGTCAAGACCGATTCAAGGCTGTCAGCCAGCTTCCGCCCAAAGGGGAGAGAGGAGAAATGTCCATGATTCTCGGGAGGGGATGACAACGATAACCATTGAAGTTGTTCCTTCGGGATATCACCAGTCGATTACCTTTCTTCGTAGTACAAGTAACTGGTTCTATGATATGCTACCGTACTCGTTCTTCATTCCAGCTAATTGGCATTTGAAGGGGGTACTTGTGCCAACACAAACAATCCATCAAAGCACTTGAATCCGCTTATCTCCTATTCCTTCAGAACTGGCAAAAACGACAGAGACAGTTGTGCCCTTTGAATGCTCTCTGGCTTTGCGATACGCTTTTTTTGTAGCTTTATATGATGTGGTGCACAAACCGGAT